ACCTGATAAGAGTGTTCAGACCGATTTTTATAATGCAGTGGAATTAATGTGTGACAAGAAATGAAATGTAAACTGGAGGATTTGTGGTAAAGATGGAAAACGCTACCGTGGTCCTTTAAAACCAGCGGATAGCTCGTGTTTTGACGCTGCTGCTTCCTTCTGCTCCAGTTTGAAACAGTAGACTGCACTGTACCTAAAGAGTGTGTGTGTGTGTGTGTGTGTGTGCGAGGTCTCTTCCTGCTTTAGATAGGAACGTGATGCATTATTAATCTGGTCTAAATGACTGGGCTGATGCTGTAGCTTTCCTCTGCAGCTGCACATCTGCCGTCACGGCTCTGAGCAGAGCTGCATTTGTCTGTCTGCTCACACAGTTCATCAGTTTATTTTCCTAAGTCTGCAGGTTGTCATGAAAACAGGCTGCATGTCATGTAAGAGGTGTCTCTTCTATCTGTCAGTACAAGAAGCCTCTGTGCTCCCTCGAGGGAAGCAGCCTTCTGTTGTAGTGTGTTCCTCTGATCTCAGTTTACAGGATGTGGAGAGCTTTTTAGAGTCCTGTTTTCTGTTGTGTTTCAGCAGACCTTTGGAAGCTGTGCTAGCAAATCACATCTGCTGCTGTTACTGAAACAGAGGTTTTTATGTGCAGGGTGGTTTGAGTATATAAAATAATGGATTGGTTTCATTTTAACTGGTTTTATCTCAAGTACTGCTCAATACTTGCTCCTTTTTCACTAAAAAATTTAAAAAGACTGGTCAACGAGCTTTAGAGGGCATTGACCCTCTGAATCACAAGCACACATTTTGTTTACATACTGATTATGTGAAAAATCTTATACAGTATTGTCAAAATATCAAGATTTCCGTCTGTAGCAGCCCTGTCTGCTAGAAGTTATGTTGATATTCTAAAAAAAATAGTCTACAGAGAATACTTTCTGATTGATTGATGTAAGACCAGATCACAAGTTCTATCGATGTAATGACAAAATGCCAGTAACTGTCTGACCGTCAAGCAGTTTGTGTGCTTTTTTTCTCTCGGTGGGCTCGTTTTTCGTTGCAATATGAAGTCCTGCACCTCTATGGAAACAGCACACCCATGGCTACGCAGTATGACGCAGTTAGAATGACAGAAATCGTTAAAAAAACAACCCACAATGAATTTCTTTGATTATTTACAAAAACTGATAAAATAGGATTAACCACTGAATGTATCTTCTGACATCTTGCTGATGACTTGTATTCTGTAAGCTGTTTTTTTGAGCCATGCTGCGTTCATTTATTGATCGAGTATGTTTTGTTTTCCTCTCGGTCTCCTCTCTGCTCTGTGGAAACACTGCCTGCAGTTCGTCTGGAAACTGTTGGTCACAGCTGAACTCGTCACAGCTGAACTAGTCCAGAATTGAACTTTTTTCACAGGATCAGATGCCAACACTTGATTTTTGGAGACTTTTCAAGTGAGACATATTGAATAAAGTAGTTTTAATGAAATATTACAATACTAAGCTTAGGTTTGGTTGTTTTTCCTGATAGAACTATACGTAACCATTATACGTTGAAGGACAATTGGACGTTTTTTTGCAGAAACTTCAAACCCATTGGCAGATGTTGGCGTGCAGGCGTTACAGGAGTTGGACACTACTGCAATAACATGTTATTAAATTGGATCCAACTAAACCAGGATATGAGCCTTGACTGAAGTTTGTCAGAAACTGTCTTGGCTGCAGCTTTTTGCCTCGACCTCGTGCTGCTGTCTGCTTTGCAACGCTTCTCAGGTGAAACACAGTTCATCTCAGACGAGCTTAATGCAAATTAGGTTTTCAGAGCTGACTGAATTCTGAAGTTTTCTCCTATAGGGTGCATTTTTGCATACATTCGCCTCAAGTTTGGGAACTTTGCCTGTGTGTAGCTAATAAACTCTGACAACAAAATAGCAGAAAATGGAAAAAAACGCATATGTTTGAATGCCATAGAAGGAATAGGAGCACCTAATGCGAGTGATGTCTTATTTTTGCTTGTGTGAAGTCATGCAGGTTGATTTTATCCGTTTTTGTGATGTTATTTACTGTTTGCTTTATCTGTAAACTTTGTGAGGCTTGTGGAAATAGAATATTTTTTTTATGAGCAGAGCCAAACAGCCCTGAGGAATATTGTTGATCGTTATCGTTGTTTTCTGGCTCTGCAAATGATCCTCAGGCCTCCTGCAGGTCGGTGCTCAGGTGCTGATATTCTAAAGGCTGCGCGCACCCCGCTGACTCTGCTATCAGATTAATTATGCGCTTTATTAGGTGCGAGACGGTCAATATAGCTGAATCAATCGTGTGACAGAGATGGAGCAGCGGGGTCAGAATAACTCCAGATTTTAATTTCCTGCTAAACAACATGTTGCTGTTGCTGCTCGTCTCTGTTGGGCTGTCGATCAAATAATTTAGCGCTGCTGAGTCATATCGGATTTGTGTCGTCTTCTCTTTATACCAGTCAGGGTTTGGTTTTTTTGGTCATTGTTGGTTGTTCTTCAAGTTGATATGCCAAATAAAGGATAAAGGTAACTCAATGAAATGATGAAGAATCCCAAAGTAGAGTTTATTATCTGAAAATATGAAAACATTCTGTAAGTTGTGTCTTGTAGATTGAAGTGTAAATATGAAGCAGTGAAAACAGCAGAGTTAAACAGGGCAGGACATACAGCAGTAAAGCTTACCAAACAGTTGAACAAAGCCGAATTGTGCAGAACAAAGCGGGGCAATAAATCCAGTGGCCGTCACCCCGACCGCTAATGGTGTACTGCTGTTAGCCTAATGGAGTAATGTTGTGTAATCATGAAGAGCCTCAGAGGGTAGAAGAAACCACACGACCACACAGGACAGACAGGCCACGTCTTTGGGTATCACAGTAATCGGTTTTGTTCGCTGGTGAACAAAATGGGAAACTCTTTTGTGAACTGTCTTGCCTTTCATATGGCTCAGGATTGAATTAAGAGAGTACAGATGCGTCGTTGTGGGCGGCTATCAAACAGCAGCAGCATGAAGTAACCTAATACTGCGCTGCACTGCTTGCACACTTAGTAATAGTGGAATCAAAACCTCCACCGTTGCTCTCATTGGATAAGAGCATCTTCTAAAACGCCTGTTTGTTGTCGTTCAGCTGTCTGTTGGTTTACTCGTTTTATCCAGATGGAGAAGGTAATTTCTGGTGGTTTTCTTGTCAGCCTGATCATTTGCATGATTATAAGTTGTGTGGGAAGTAGGAAAGGCAAACGGTGAATGGAAACTGGATTTAAAAACACATTTAGTGATTTAATTAAATAATCATTGCATTAGTCTTCACAATGTGTTATTATATGAACACAAATGTGTTTTTTGGGCTTAAAATGCCTCAGAAATGAGACCCACATATTGTAGTTACTGATTACTTTTCTTTTGTGCAAGTGGAAGTAAAGTGGACAATGAGAAAAGGAGCAAACAAAACAAGCAGAAAATAAATTAATCTGTGCAGTTGTATTCAGAAAGTAGTGTTTCATTATAAATTGCAGCCTCTTACAAGTGAATATTTTCTGGTTTCTATTCTCCTCTATGGCAGTAAGTTGAATATATTTTAAGTTGTGTACAAAAGAAAACATTTGAAGGCATCATGTTGGGTTTTGGGAGACACTGATCAATGTATTTAACCATTTTATAAACCAACAACTAATTGATTTATTGACGAATAGTCAACTGATTAATTGACGGTTGAAAGACTAATTCAGACCAAATCAACATCCAAAAACCACAAAAAAACAAAACACAGCGTGAAAAACTAGAGCTATAGCAGTGCATGTACCTAAATCATAATAATTTGGTTTCATTCATATCTGTAAAACTCTTCAACACAGTCTTCTCATGTCATTTTTTTCCGTTTTGTTCTTTATCTATGAAATCTCAAACGGCCTCAGCCACACTGTCTAACTTGCAGCGATGCATTTATTTGAAGGTCTTGAAGCTCATTAAGACCACACGCTAACCAGCAGTCACTTCCTCACCTTCGACACCCTCTGCATTTTAATAAAATTCAATTCTAGCTATCCTGTCCTTGTACAGTATTCACTGACTGTGACCATTTTGCACTTTGTTTGACAGCAGACTGAACTTTTTCACTTCGTTAAGGGCTTTAATAGAAACTTGGATTTCTTTTGGAGTTGTACCATTCACTTAGTTAATCAGCCCTCTGTTTTATTTTATTTTATTTTTTATCAAGTTGGCGTTTCAAGTTTAACTGTATAGTTTTGTATTTTGACGTGTAAACTTCTGATTCTATTTTTCTACTGTGCTGGATTATACAATGACATGTTTGTCAAAATTCACTGAGCTTAAATGAAACAGTCATTGTGCTTTGATTGAAGGAAAATGATTTATTAGGTGATAGTCGACTTATTAATCAGTAGGAAAATAATTCCAAGTGGCAGCTCTCACATCAAAGCATTGCAACTAAATGTAATTTTGCAAGTTAGTCGGTCGGTTTGAAACTTTTTAATGTGGTTGTCCTTCTGCATACCCTTTTTTCCTCCCCCTGTCTGCAGTGCTGTAAGTGTGTACACAAAAGTAATGCAGAGAGAGTAAACTAACCAGAGTTTTTCTGTTTTCAGAGGTGAACACTGAAGCTCCTCCAGGACTTTGAAGTTATCACAAACATCAGCACAACAACTGAAAGCAACAACTGAGACAGAAACACTTTAGTACACAAGAGAGTTTCATCCAATCAGGCAGATCATCAGTGAAGGAGCTGCACTACAAACCCAAGTGACTGAATGTGTGACGCTAGATCCATTATTAGCTTAATTAAAAACGAGTAAGAGGAGCACAGTCACTGTAACTAATGACTCTGACGGCAGCATTTTTTTTAGGCTAATTAACTCGTGGTGCTTAATTAAAAGCTCAGCCTGCACTTTTGTCTCACTTTGTTTCTGAGCTGTAACGCCAAACAAAGCCTTTTAGTCACTGTAATATATTAGCTATTAGCGCTGGTGAGCCAAGATGGCCGACCCCTACCAGAACAACGTGTACCACCAAGGAGGCGGTGACAGCTATGGGACGTACGGAGAAGGCGGCGGCCATGATGGATACGGATACCAGGCGGACTACCCTCCTCAGGAAGAGGACGCGGCGAGCGACGTGACCGAAGGACACGATGAAGAGGATCAGATGTACGAAGGAGAATATCAGGGGATCCCTCATCCGGACGAGGTGAAAGCTGCACAGAGAGCTGCACGGTGAGTCGTGTTTCATGTTGTTGTAGCAGGAACGATGCTGGTTTCAGTCCTGTTGAGGCCCCAAGTTTCTCAGACACCAACTTCACCTCCCCTACTCTTGGTCCTACCAAAGGGGAACACTCCATACAGTCAGTCACTGTACAGTAATACTACATATTTTAGATCACACCTTCCCTCAGTAACACACACAAGTAAAAAAACAAAACAAAAACATGATGCATTGTTTTTGTGTTGAACCATGAATTTTGTGTACACCTCCAGTCCACATGGGTGGCTCATCTTCTAGTGATGTCGCTGATAAATGAGGCAGCGTTGTGTTTAGTTAAACAGCCACAGAGCAAATCAGCTGCAGTTTAATCATCTCCATCTGCTCCTATAAGTGAGGTTCAGACATGCTGAGCTCACAGAGGTGTCAGCTGAATGAATCAGAGTTACTATTTAACATAACTCCTGTATTAAAACCAGTCAGTTTGAGAGCGAGAGCAAACCACAGTCCTGAATTTTCAGTTTTAATACTGGAGCCAGTGATGGTTGGAGACTAATTCACTTTAATTCTATGCAGAAAAGTATTATATTGTGCTTTCATTCAGAAGTACAGTCACTTGGTATTCATTGCTCAGTGGAGATGGTTTCCACCTTTTGCTCGAGTGCTCACAGTTTTAATGAAAACACCGTGACAGGAATATTTTAGTAAAATGTCACAGTGAAGTTTCACAAAGTGTAATGACACTGTGTTGAGAAAAGCGGCTAAAATATATGCTGAGATGTCAGATTCTGCACTTTCTCATCCCCACTTTAGATTCATGACTTTAAACTAGATGAGTTATTTCTTCAGCTGTAAGAATGCATTTGTGAGTAACAGATGGATTAAAAGGTTAATTGAATATGTACGGGGCCCAGATTTCTGTGCTGACTACACAAGGCCTGTGTCCCAGAAAGAATTTATCAAATGACGTGTTTTTCACCATGAGCTGTAAAACAGGAACGATTAGCAAATTTGAGAACCCAAAATCCATCCATATTACTTGACCACACACAGCTGCTGATTCATTTTTTTTCCCTGGTTGTCCAATTTGATTAATAACTGCAGCTCTAATATTAAATTAAACACCTTACACGTGTGTTATTATGGTTTAGTATATATGTTTTCTTATTCTATAATAAAAGAATCAAATGAAACTTAGTAATCGGTAGATGGAGTTGTCATGTTGTCCATCTTTACCTCTAGTCTGTGGTTTTTATTACTTTATTATATTCCATTTAGAGATGAAAGATATACTAATTTATACTCACAGCCATGCGAAGCCTTTTTACTCAACATTAGAGCAGCAGTGATTAATCTGTTAGTCAGATTCCTCAGCAGCTTTTAGTAATTGAGTAATACTGAGCTGTTCCAGTGCAGGAACTTGCGGCTGTTTTGGGACGGTTTGAACTTTTGTACGTGTTTCGACTGCAGCGAACATTATGCAATTTCAAACTGTGAAAACTCACAGTTCATCAGATGGCTCGGTTTGTTTGTCCAACATGCAGAAATCTTCATCTTCCTGTGACGTAAAATAGGAACAATCAGGAAGTTCTTACATTTGAGAACCTAAAATCCATCAATAGGTGTCTTTGCACTGCAGGAACTCGGGGCTAACTCCAGTTCTATGAACGCTCAGGAAACAGAACACTAAAGGTTTGTTATGATAACTTGATGGCGACGTTAGAGAGAACAAGACTGCTACAGGGCAGAAAAAATAGCGCTCATTGTCTTCTCCGAGTTTAATTAATCAGCGTTGAATCAGCACAGCAGTTTTTCAGGTCTGTTCCCTGGAGTTGGGACTTTTAATATCCCTAAAAACGTCCCTGAAAGAGGTTCTGCAGGGACGGTTCCTGCAGTCGGAACATGTACATAAGTTCTGCCGCCCCTAGAACAGCAGCAACTTCCTGCAGTGGAAAACAGCTTAATGTTACTGGATTATTAAACGCTGCTGCTGATTGTTTTTCTCTACTTACTAACAGATTAATCACTGGTAATGTAATAATAAGTTTAATAATCCTGAAGCAAAACAGAATTACACAACAATATAAATAAAGGCAGTACCCTGTAGAAAAACAATAAGATTATGATACTGAAAATACAAAGAGATGAGCTAAAATAAGACTAGAATAGAAACGTAGGAAGTAATACTGGCACTGATTCTAAGATAATACAATAATATTGTACATGATCATAACCTGAAAAATTAAATATGATGAAACTGAAATGTAAGTGTTTCAGCTGTCCTTTAATATATTTTTAGGCAGCTGTCAGATCGTCCATCTTCATTTACAACCATCCGTTAGTAAAAAAGTCTCATTTCATTCTTTTATTTTAGTCGATAAGATTTATACCAAATGATATTGATACGCATACACAGCGTTTTATTTAATGGTACAGCTGCAGTTATTAATCAGTTTGGTTAATCAAGGAAAATGAATGAGCAGCTTTCAGTGATCAAGTTAAAGAAAACTTTGCTAATTATTCTTGTTTTACAGCAAATGGTGCCAAACAAATAATTTGGTTAATTCTTCTTGGGCTGCAGTAAATCACAGTTTGAGGCGACAGAACATTTTAGCTTTCTGAACGGGATACAGGCGACACGTGTAGGCGGCACTGAAATATTTAGTTAGCTTTTTATTCCATCTGTTGATTGCGTTGTCACACCTGAACAAATAACTCGACTCGTGTAAAACCGTGAATCTGTTGTGGTTATTAGGAAGTTGAACTAAACACAGAGCTGCTTTCTTTACTAGGAAGGATTTTAGCGAGGCATTTATGCAACTGTACATTCATGGCTCGACATGTATTCTTTAAAGCAGAGAAAACAAAAAAAAGCACTTTTTTTTTCCTCCCTCCGTTTGTTTACAAAAGATGAAAACATTAAAATGCACCTGAATGGACATGATTCTTAATGTAACAGTTAAAATGCTGCCTCATGTCAGAAAGAAAAGACTCTGTGGCTGTTTACTGTCAGCATAAAAGAAATCCATTAAAAAGTGCAGCGCGTTCATAATGAACTGAAATGAAGCATTAAAGCCAGCAGAGCAGTTCCAGCTTCAGAGTCTGTTCTTCTGTAAACACTGAGGACCCAGCTGTCTGGTTTGAATAACCTTTATTGAACTGTCAGCGGAGGCTTGGTGCTGAGCTCCACATGGCAGCCGCTCGCTTGAGTCTTTTATCTGTAAAAGTCTCATCACCAAGTTGAGAGACGATTTAATCGGTTTGGTATCGATGAAGTTTTCGTCTTGAACTTGCTCCACTAAAAGAAGATTCCCCCGTTACTGTTATGCAGAGACACAGTTACAGCTTCCTGTTCTTAGGCTGCGATTGGGTTAAAAAAGCACAAACAAGCCGGAGCTTTTTATTCCCCACCATACTGAGGTGCAGCCAGACGGACATAAAAAGACTTTTGGCAGCACTGAGTCACTTTAAAGGGGGTGAATACTTCCGCAGTTATTTTACAGTTTCAATTTTAACTAATTGACATTATTTTATATCATCACTTGACATTTCAGAATGTATTTTTTGTACATTCTTGTCAAAAACAGCTAATTTAAATTGTGCATGATTCAAAGCTGAAAAGCAATAAAACGCTAAATTGTCCTTTTTTTTTCTGTTGCTAGGAAGTGATTAAAAACTGCAGTACTAAGATGGGAGGTAATGATCGTGACATGGGTGACAAAACAGATTTCATTACACATCGCCTCATGCAAATGCGATGTATATAAATATATAAATAATCTAGAACCGTGTAATATTTATATCCTCATGCACTCGACAGGGCTGAATAATTTGCATCGAAGCTGTACCTCCGTCTCAGACTACGAAGACAAACCCCAGAGAGTTTATTTATTCATCACGTGTGGTTGATGAATGAGGTCTCGGGTCTGCCTTTGTTCCGGTTTAGTTTTCATCTTCACTCAGAATAAAGAACGACGGACTCTCAGATCTTCTTCTGTCAGCGTCGAAGGAACATTTAAACGGATGAGCCGAAACATCAAGACCACCACAAGGGCTGGAAATATTCTAACGTGACAAGCAGCAGGACTGGAGACGTTCAGTGAAAGTGTTAACAAATATAGTTTTTCTCTTTACATTTAAATTTTTGTAGGGTTTAATCTCTAATATATGCACACCTAAAGAACACTACAGAGTTTTACCTGTAATGTTAGCTTACGTAACGCCAGTCATTTTTACTGGATGGCACTAGATAGATAGATAGATAGATAGATAGATAGATAGATAGATAGATAGATAGACAGACAGACAGACAGATAGATAGATAGATAGATAGATAGATAGATAGATAGATAGATAGATAGATAGATAGATAGATAGATAGATAGATAGATAGATAGATAGATAGACAGACAGACAGACAGACAGACAGACAGACAGACAGACAGACAGATAGATAGATAGACAGACAGACAGACAGACAGACAGACAGACAGACAGACAGACAGATAGATAGATAGATAGATAGATAAACTTTGTCTGTTCCAAATAGTGACAGAAATTCTCCTTTGACGAGGCTCCAAGAATCAAAATACAACACATATAAAAACACACTTAAGACACAAGCTCACAAAGCACAGACGTCCAAAAGAATTGTTAAAAACAAATAGCAGCCGATAAAATGTACTGTTCAGTGTCTTATTTCATTTTGTTCAGGGTGGTTATTGCAGTGGGAATAAAGGATTTTTTATAGATGTTTTTGCGGGCCAGCGGGACTTTGTAACGTCTGCCTGATGGAAGTAGCTGGAAGGAGTGATGTAGGGAGTGAGAGTGGTCCGGTTATACAATTCAGAGACGTGTGTTTGTGGCGAACCAATGATTTGTTTGATTTGTTTTTACTTTTTGACATTTGTTTTAATGTAAAGCACTTTGTAGCTTTATTTTCTAGACAAATAACCTTCTTTTTCTATTCATCTCTTTCCATTCCTCTTCTTCTTCTATTCTTCTTTTTCTATTTTTCTTCTGTTCTTCTTCTTATTGCCTCTCTTCGTCCTCTGTCTCAGGACTAAATCTCGAACAACCGGCAGCGCTGCCTCTGAGCTGCAGGAGTTATCCGAGCAGTACGAGGACATCATGGAGGACTGTGGTCACGGGAGGTTCCAGTGGACGCTCTTCATCGTGCTCGGTCTCGCTCTGATGGCCGACGGCGTCGAGTGTTTTGTGGTCGCGTTCGTTTTGCCGTCCGCAGAAAAGGATCTGTGCCTGTCCAACGCGGAGAAAGGAATGCTGGGTAAGGGCTTTACGGATTTATCGGTGCTTACAGTGTAGTTTTTCTTTGTCAGAAGTGTTTCTGTGCTGAAACATGTCTGAAGAGAAACATTCATCCTGCAGTGATTCTCTCTGGTCGATCTCAGTTTTGTTTCCACAGAGAAACACGTGCTGTATTGTGTTTCCCAGAGTTTAAATGTGCATTGAAGACATCATCTTAATGTGTTCTTCAGTCGCTGAGTGATCATTCAGTCCATCAGATCAATACTTTAAGCTGGACTTGATCCTTTGATCCAGGCCCTGTGTGTTTGACATTCACCAGATAAACCAGTAGTTTAAGGCTCATAAACTCTGACCAAATGTTGAAGTTTAAATGACTGGAACTAACTCAGAGCAGCAGAGTATTTGTTTATTTATTTGTTTGTTTGTTTGTTCATTCATTTATTTTTTTATTTTTTTACCAAACCTTTACTAGCAGTTGAGTTTTATTTTTTTGTGCTGGCGATGATGTGGGATTCGGTTGCTTTAGTTTAAAATTCCTGGTACTGTTGTGTGATTTTGTGATGTTCTATTTGTTGTTTTAGAGGCAATACTCTATTAATGCAGTTTATCAATCTTTTTTTTTTTCATAGCCTGCATGTGCTTTTATTGGCACTTTAAAATGTGCAAAAATTAAATGATTTGAGTTAAATGTGAATCTTAACAGAGAGACAACACGGCATAACAATAGGATTAGTCCTGTGATTAAAAATAACTGCTGAAAACTGTTGTCATGGCAACAAAGTCACATTTTTATTACTTTCTTTTATTTAGGTCAGGGACATAACTTGATCATTTTTAGCTGCATTTCCTTTACGGCTAAAATAAAGGGGAAACCAGGTACTTTGTCATGTCAGGTACATTTAGAGGTTATTAAGGTTTAATTTATGCAGTGAAAGTGAAATGATCTGCACAAGTCTGTAATACATCCTGTTTATTCAGTCATTTACTCCCTGATATTCTTTATACTGTTTGTCTTTAACAAAGTCCTGCAGTCACAATTTTAAAAAAATGTGCAGACGTGTAGTTTTTTCCTGCTGGTGGTTGATAATGTTATGATTTACAGTTCGATCTGATGGTGGCAGTGTTGTTCCAATGCCTAAACCCAGACGTAGTGATACAGAAAT